TCCTAACTAACCCTTAAAGCTAAGTATTTGGTGCCCATTTCCCTTTTCCTCTCCACTTTCTTCTAGGACAAGAGCTTTAGTGGCTTGAGAAGGCTTCTTTTTCAGTCAGTTCTTTTTATTACTGTTCTTTTGACTTTGTCATCTCATGAGCTCCCCCTGGCCAGCTAACTAGATGAAACTTGGAATAGTGCTGCAGTCTTTTTAGATGGCTCTAATTTCAGCCACAGAATTGTCCTTTCCTTTAGGACTGGATGCGAGTCTCCTTGTTTTTTTCGGAGATGTCAGCTTTGCCCAAGCTCTCTTTCAAACTCTTGCCAAGTTTCTGCCCCACCTGAGAAGTGCATATTATGGCTTCAGCTGGTGAGCTCACATCCATTTAGCCTCCTGTAGGACAAAAAATTCTATGCCTTCAGTATGTTGCCCTTTTTTTTTTGTTTGTTTCCCATTTTTTAAAATATACTTGCTTAGAGCCATCTGAATTCTTTACAACTGATGAAAACTGTAGTAGAGTTTTTACTCATGCTGGTGGTGTATCATAAGTTCCCCTCACAAAGAGGTTGTTGGAGCTGTGTTGCAGTACTTACTGGTTATTACTGTGCATTTGTGGCTTCGATCCTGGGCAACAGTTCACTGTACCCCTCATCTGTTCCTATTTTTGCAATGAGTTGAGATTCTGAAGAAGTCTGTGCATTAAATAACTTTCTGCTCACTCATGATATTTATGGTACACTGAAAAGAGCCACAAAAGCACATACCCACATTGTAACTGTAGGACTTCTACCAATCTTTGACTCAGGGAGGCTTTGGAGTGAAAGAAAGGGTGCAGTGTAGACAGACATGATTGAGTGATAAGCTCAACTTTGCATGGAGGCAGTCTGCATTTGTAGGCTATGGTGATGGTGGGCCCAAAGGAATGGGTATTTGTGAAAAAGCACTTGGTTATCTTGACAGAAGGCAGAGGCATGAAGTTGTCTCTGCTAAATGTGACCACAGTGTTCCTCATCCAGCCAACCATAGACAGAAAGTATCTTTTGTAGTGTACCACTCTTGTGTTTGACAATTGGCTACAGGGTTAACAAGCTAATTAGCACATTTTCACTTGGGCAGCTGTAAGTTTTAAAAGCATAGGGTAGAGGATTGAGGAAGTTTGATCTGTAGATAATAGTCCTTCAGTTTTCCTAGGGCAGTTTTCCAAGTACGTATTTTCCAAGTAAAAGCATTTGGAAAGTCTGCAGTGACTTCCCCCCTCTTTCTTCCATATTCATAATGGGGTCACTAGTTCTGCATCTCCTGGAGAATAAGGTAATTACTTATGGCCAAACGGTGAATGGCATTCTCTGATGAAGTTCACTAAGTTCACTAAGGGTGAACCCAGTTGAAAGGGCTCTGGCTTAATTATGCACCCAGGAGGATGAACAAGGGCTAGAATTGCATACCAGGGCTTACATGCTCTTTCTAACACTTCCTGCTCTCCAGCATGGGTATTCTGGCACTGGCTGCCATTTGCTCCTGTTTTTTTTTTCTTCAGTTTATTTTATTTTTTTTTATTTTCCCTCCTTGCTTCTCCGCAGTTGTGGTACTAGAATAACTGCTGGCTGTTTAGGAAAAAATGTTGCGGCTTCTGGGTTGGGAGCCAGGCAGTACCATTTCCTATGTCCTCAACTGGTCTGGCTCTGAGGCAAGCCAAGGAACCTGTGTCTGTGGATATTATGGTTAGCGCAGGCTAGCCTATATATAGTTTGGTTGATGGCTTTAGGCAAGCTATGGTGAACCATGATCTTTTTTGGAGAGGAGGAATGAGAGGGATTGCAGTGACAAGCTTTCAAAACCAACAATTAGTTTATGTTTTCAAAGTACTTCCACAAATGGAGAGGTTGCAAAAAAGCGTAATATTTTACAATTCTGAATGTAGAAATCTGTGGCTTTCTTTTCTTGTTCTTTTTGTTTTGTTTTCTTTTTAAATATGTAGGACGTTATCTTAGATTTCATTGTGTTTGGAAACTGCACATCATGTTGGACATGCTGCCACTCAAGGAAAATGCTGATTTGTTGGCAAGTATAAAAGATACAGAAAGCTTAAGTGTCACTTGAGGGTAGGAGGGAAGCAGGGAATAAACTTATCCAATACATTTAACTTAAGTATATAAGGTTGTTATAGAAGGGTATATCATACATGTCCACATCTGGACGTGCTGCTGATTGTCTAAAAGTCTCGATCAATTATGGTCTCTTTTGAAAATAGCTCAGTTTATGGATCAGAATTTTTTTTCTGAGTGGGAAACAAGTAGCAACAGTAAACCTAATGGTATTTTTATTCATTAATCTGACAGATTTTTCCTGTGATAAGTGCTTGAGCACCACAGAGGCTTCTGCAACCAAAGCACACAGAGCAGGCACAGAAGAAGACTCGAATGGCAGATCCTATTCCTTTCTAAGTGTGTGTTTTCCAGCCTAGTGTTGGAAGCACTACAGGTGTGCTGCAGTGCACAAAATACTGAAGCTGTTAATTAACTACTCTTTCTCTCCTAAAGCTACTTTTTTTCCATTATTAATACAAGTAAGTAAAATCCTAGTGGTCTTCGTCAGATTCTTATTTTGAAGTCAGAACCTCCTAGAGAATGATACTTGTATCAGTGCTTTTGTTTCACAAAAGCCATAGTTGTTATTTTTCTCTTCTTTCTTGAAGCCAGATTTCTGGTACAGTGCTTGCAGCATGAACCTATGGATGTCATTAACAGTTTTGTCACCCTGCTTTTTGGATTGTCTGTGCAACACTATGAAGCAGCCACTGTTAGAAAGGTGTCTCACCTGCAGCTCCTGATTTGGATGAGTTTTGAGTGCTGAGATCATGTGTTAATGGAAGTAGCATAAAAACATATCTAGAGTTTGAGCCAGATTCTCACATCTTTGTGTCTTTTAAGTTGTGTCAAAGAGCTGTAAAGAGCTTGAGAAAATAGTTGTTCATGGAAAAAGTATTGAGAGGAGCCCCAGCTCTGCTCTCACTCCATTGTGTTACAGCATTTGTGGAGGGTAGGGTCAAGTAAAGCCAAACTGTTACCTTTCTCTGACTGTTACTGATACTTCTTCGATAGCAGAAATTTGAACAAATTTTTTTTATTATGATAAAAGAAAACATGAAATGCCACTTGGTCTACTTGGCTTTCCAGATGGCATGATTTATATGTAGACTTTGACTTCATGTGAGGGCTGTATAGTGTACCTGTCTGTCTGCCAGTCTCTCATTCATAAGTTTTGAACACACTGGTTTTTTTGCAGGTAAGCTTGAAGGAAGAGACTGAAGTCAAATTTAGACACCTGAAATGTTTGTGAGAACAGCTTGCTTTGTGGCAAGAAGGCAAAAAGATATCCTAAGTCGACAGAAAAATGATTTTCCTGTATCTGAGATAAAATATGATTTAAATTAACAAAGTGCAATGCATAAGCTGTTTTAACAATGCCTTCACCCTAATTTTTCACACTGTGACAAGAGATACCTTTAGTATTTGTCTCTTGTGAGAAACATTAGTTTTAATGCGTTGAAGAACATTGGCAAGGTAGTGACATTTCTTCACATTTGGACTTGTCTGGTTGCTTTGATGGTTTTACAACATAGCCTAAACGTACACTGAAAACAAATCCCAGGCATTTTTTCTTGGGGTCTTTGTGTTGAAAATAAATTTCCCAAGCAGTTCATCTAGCAGGTGAGAAGGAAATAAAATTTCTGATTTATAGTTAGGAGCAGTAGGTGCAGACTCTTGACTTTCACAGGTCAGTTAACTCATGGAAACAAGAAATCATTTCAAAGTATCTGTGCTCCTGGTCTTTCCAAGAGCAGTCAACGTTGCAAAATGCTGCCTGTTGAACACCTTTACTCTGCATGTAGAAGCTCTTTCTTATCACCTTTCATCCTCTGCAAAATGAGAGAGAAATTCTATACGCTGAGGCACGGACTACACCACATTCTTACTATAAGATTATGGTAGCACCTTTTTCACTAGTTTCCATTAAGAGATTCAGGTGCTAAACAGCCCTTCTTTTTAGAGTCATGAGGCTAACTTTGAGTAATCTTCTTCATTAAATGATTGAAGTTCAATACGGAAGATTTTTTTTTCCTGCCTGAGAAAGGGCAGTACTTTGAAAACCAGCTCTTTCATTACTTTATCATTTACAGCTATTGCCATTTCTACAGACAAGTAGACTTGGGAATATACGTTGATGTGAAATTTTGCATGGAGCTGGGAATTTGTGGTTTGTTTTGTGTTCAGTTTGATGTCCACTTGCTTTCCTTTCCCTGCAAGAGATTGATTTCTTCAAATACTTGTCACTAGGAATGTGCTAAGTTTGCAGTTGTTTTCAAAACATTGTAATTTATACTTTATTAACATTTTCATAGATGTTACTAAGTATCACTGCTGAAATCATTGCATTAAGCAAGAAAATATTGCATCTGTTTCACCTACTGTTTTTTGGCTGCCTGTTCCTCATAGTTGTTCTTCTGAGGAGTGAAATCTCTGCATGTTAGACTAATTACTGCATGCCAGTTCTTTTATTCTTAAACAGGCTTGAATGTCAACTGCGCAACTGTAATGAGACATGCAGCAATTTAGGCAAGGGTCCAAATGTCTATTACATGTGTGCTGTTGAAGTGATGGTTCAAAGTGAATGTAGTGCTAATCGTTATCTATCTCCAGCAAGCCACAGACTGGTATTCCCCATAATGTTCACTTTAAATGTTTTGATGAGCAATATTAACTAGCATCAGTGGTCTAGGAGTCTTTCAAACTGTTGTCAGTTCATAGTTGCTCTTTGCCATACATATTTACTTAGACCTGTGCAAGGATCTGCCAAGGTGATACCAGGTGAGTTAAATCCATTGATTACTACACATTCCCTTCTGATACTTAGCCATACAAATGCATGTGTTGATTGTAGTCACATAATAAGAATAACGAGATTTGTGTACATTTCCTGCTCTCTTTTTATTTTTTCTCTCTTAAAAGCCTGAGACTGCAGCTGTGCTGAAGCGCACTGTAGAGGCTCTCATGGAGAGAGGAGCCATTGTGAGGAACCTCGAAAACCTGGGAGAAAGGGCTCTGCCGTATAAAATCTCCAAACACAACCATCGCCACAGGAGAGGAGGGTATGCATGATGCATTTTTTCTTAAAAAGCCTTTCAGTGCTCCTATAAAATGTACTTATGTAACTGTCATCATCTGGTCTTCCTTGTGCTTTTGGGGAGTAGATATGCGATGTCTGTCACCTCAGCAAGGCTTTGCGGGGCTCTTTGTGCATGTGTTGCCCTGTTTTGTGCCTCTTTGTTTTGCCTGGTGTTGGCTTCTTGTTCGTTTTCAGATGTCATGTTGTGTGTGGCCCAAGTTCAGGCCTTCAGAACTGCTTTCCCTAGTGTACACAATGTTATTTTGTTAGGGCGTTTTTACGTAACTGTTTTCCAAGCCAGTCAGGCTGTTTACTGATAAAAGTCTTACTTAATCTGCTGGTTGCTAATTGGCAAGATTGATTCTTTTTCTCTAATGCATCTGAACTAAATGTTAATCACCATATGTATCCCGTAGGACTTGTGTTTGTGGTACGGTTGTTAAAGATGACCATGTAAGTGCAGCTCGCTTAGAGGATAAAAGCTTCCAATTGCCCCCAGAGACGGTTCTCAACTGGCCCATCAGGTGCCAGGATTCTCTTGGGCTGGCTGGGTGGGTGCTGTGGGTTTCACCCCGATCGCTCATGTTGGTGTTTGTTGCTCCTTGGACTACCTCCGACATGGAAATGGAGGCTGGCTCTCCTCTAAGGTTGAGAAATGTTGCTAGGCAACCTGTGCTGTGCGGCGCTAGGCCTGCCTGCGGTAGTCCAAATAACAATTAGCTGCACGCTTCCCCCATCCTTCCAGTGCAGCTGGCTGTCATCGGGTGGCTGACCAGTATGTGTGCCACCTTCCTTGGTAGCCATTTGGTACCAGAGAAAATGAGGTGATTCCAGAGGTGTGCTTTTTATGAAGCCATCCTTAGATCACTTCCTGGGGCTCTGCTCCCTCTGCTGAAGACCTCTCCCTTCTGTGAAGGGGAGCACAGCAGGCTGACAGAAAGGATAGGGAGGGAAACCTCTGTGGTGTGCCGGTTCCTTACCAAAAGCAATGGCACTTGTGGCCATGAATTTCTTGCACTCTTGTTCCATAGTGCGATCTTGTGATAGTCTGCATTCAAAATGTGGCTCAATCCTGTATGTTTTGCATTTTAGTCTTGCTGTCTCCACACAGGAGCTAATCAAAGCCTTGTCTCAAGGCAGAATTATTAATTATCTTATTCTTTTCAGGGTGATTAAGCAAAGTGAGGAGCTAATATAACTTATTATAGATGGGAGCTAAGGCTGAAGTTGAGACATCCAGTTTTTCTTTTAGAGCACTTAACACCTTGAAACACTTTACCACCTTGGATCACAGTTTCCCCTTGGTTTGAGTAGCAACAATTTGGAGGTCAGGTCTTGGTTTCTTCAGCAGAGAGACCAAAAGAAAAGAAGGAGAACACAGTAGACAGATAGAATTATGTAACAGAACTGAATAGAAGGCATATCACAGAATCACAGGGGTTGGAAGGGACCTCAAGAGATCATTGAGTCCAACCCCCTGCTAAAGCAAATTCCCTACAATAGGTTGCACGGGTAGGCATCCAGACGGGTCTTGAATATATCCATAGAAGGACATTCCACCATATCTATGGGCAACCTGTTCCAATGCTCTGTCATCCTAACCATAAAGTTCTTCCAGATGTTTATATGGAACTTACCGTGTTTAGGCTATTACTTTGTTTTACTGAGTTTTAGGCTATTACTCCTTGTCCTATTGCTATGCACCACTGAGAAGAGCCTGGCCTCATCTGTTTGCCTCCTGCCTCCCTTTAGATATTTATAAACATTAATCCTTTCTCCAAAGGATCTTTCAGATATGTAAGCTAGTTTAACTTGTTTACTACAACAGATTATCTGTTTAATAGGGAGAAGGAGGGGATCAGCGTACTGTAACCCTCTTCTTTGCAGTCCTTATAGGAGATAAATTTTCTGTTTGAGATTGGGTTTTAGTAACAAATAATTACCATGTTTTAAATCATGGTCATGAAGCTGTCAGATTAATGTGACCATTGCTGTTCTTCCTCCACCTCCTAGTTTAAGTATTTCTAAATAATTAGCCTTCATTCTGCTTGCTGTGGATTTGGACTCTCTGTATTTGAATATGGCAGTTCCCTGCTCTAAATTGTCTGGCTTTTTAAAAGGGAGAGGTGATTAGAAGTGTGTATTACAGGAAAGAATAATGTTATTTGGATAACTTAAATTCAGGAGAAACAAGATGTTATAACGGGAAGGAGCAACAGTTTCTGAACCTAGTAATGTGAGATAAGGCATTTGTGTACATATGCCAGGGAGGCTGCAGTTCACTGTGGGTGATGGATTCCTAATACACTACTTGATATTTTATATGGTCTGAAGAATAACTTACTAAGGCTACTAAACATAGTATGGGAACAGAAAGTGAACAGTCAGATCTTTGTCCACCTCATAAAATCAGTCAGTTCCACTTTACAGCACCCATAAAAGTAACTTTTTTTTTTTTTCCTAACAGGAAAACATTAAAAAGAAAGGGAAAGAAAACTCAAGATCAAGCTAAATATACACCTATACTCACTAAGAAATCTAAGATCTCTGTTTCTAAATAAGAAGTTAATTCTGCCTGTCTCCTCTTCCATACCAAGTTGGTATTGAGCGCTAGATTAAACAGCATATTAATCAGTGTGGTCTCTAACCTTTTTTCTTTTTAATTATTCTGGGCTTTTTCTGAAGTGACTCAAAGGGCTTCTGTGAGAGTGCAAGTGATGCTGCGTTTCTGCAGGGAGAGTGGTGAACCTTTGAAAGCTTTTCATTTTTGAGGGGTGGAATTGTTGGTTTGTTTAGTTTTGTGATTCTCAGCAGAGCTCTTCAGGTAGTTTGTTTTCTGAGAGCATGTAGATGTCGTGGGCTCAGGATGCACACTGAATCCATTACTTCCTTTGACCTCCTGAGTGGTTTTACTTTGTGAAAATTAGTGCAATACAATATTCATAGCATGGTTCACAGCTTAATAGAGAGCATCTCTTAGAGACAGCCCTAGTGACCTCTGCACGAGCCATCTTTCTGTCACTCAGAGTGTTACAGGGTCCCCTCAGCTGCATGGAGTATTTACTGGGAAGACAAAATGGTTTTCCTGAACATCCTGGTTCCCTTATAAACAGCTATTGTTACCCAAGCTGTTTCCTTATCTTGACTCAAGGCCCATCAGCGTGGCACTGCCAGCTGCTCACAGCTCTGCTGAGACGTGCTCTGCAGCATGTCGAGAGGCCATCCTTCTCCCAGTCTTTTGCTGTATGTTCTCTTCATTTAGTTCGTTTTAACTTCATTTTAGTTAATTTAACTGTAATTCAAGTCTTTACATACGGTGCGTAGCATAAAACAGTGTGACTGACGGAGGCAGACAGAGGTGTTTTTAGTAAGTGGCAAAGAATTAAACCTAAAATGCATGTCACTGGTCATTAAGCAGGTATCCTGAATTCTCAGTACAGATTTTTTCCCTCTCCGTTCTGTAGTGCTTCAGCATCATCTATCTCATCTATACAGCATTACAATCACATTATGAATTTAAGAATATCCAGGAGACTTAGTGGAGAGTGAGAATTCTGCTGCCAGTTGATCTATAAAGCTGTGATTTTTCAAAGGTTGCCATTGGGGATAGTGGCCCACAGCTGTCACTGGAATGAATGGTTTTACTCCACTGGCAGCTTTGAAGACCTCAGATCACATGTAAAATTGACTTTTTTCCTCTGGAATATTCACTGACAGGTGGTCTCTGTGCACTGAGTGTATATTAAAAGAAATTTAGGTCTTTCTGTAAAGTGCATCTCTTAAAACAGATCTCAGAAAACAGCTTCTGTTTTTTAGAGACCTAATACTGACAGGCTTTGAATTTAGGGAATTATGAAAAGAGTATACTTCAGGAACTGTATAGATACATGAGGAGAATAAAACTTATAAACTGCTAGTGGATTGGTATTTTAAATGGAAGTTAAAGTGACTACTAATTAATGATGTCAATTGCTGTAGCAGAGCATTATTTTGTTTTTAAATTATTTAAGAGTATGATTCAAGTGTATTCTGTAGCGTAACAAAAATTCTTAACAAATACTGTTCACCTTACAGATGAATGAAACGTGACACAAGCATGCTTTGGATCCAGTATGGGTTAGGTATATAACTAACTGTACTGGGCACTGAGCCTGAGTGACTTGCCCATGGCCATCACGTCTCCGAAAAAAAAACAATGGGAGAGTGTAAATAAGGTTTCTCGACTGTATTACCTAATGGATTATAGGTTTGTGCCAAGTATTTGTTCTGCTAGCCATGACTTAACTGCTTTTGATACAATGTACTTGAATTGCCTGTACATTTTTTTAGTACTGTATCATACATATAGGGATGTATTTATTTCTGGAACAAACAGAAGCGAACTGATTTAAATTAAGTGTATGAATTCAAGGAATGTTAAACTCTAGATTTCTTTGCTGTTTAAAATGATACAGAAACAATGAATCTCTCAAAGCTGCTTTCAAATGAAGGGTCTAAACTATGGCTTGCTGATGACATTACAGAGCCATTGCTGCCTATGTGGTCAGTGCTGAACTGAGGAATATTGCAACTGCTTGTAAAATGATAGACCTCAGTAGTACAGTCTGTGGGTTTGCACTTTGTGGCATACCTGTTTTCTTTGGCCTTGCCAGACTATGCCTTAATCATATGCTTGTGACACTTTATGCTTCAAGGCATCAGATTAAGGAGCTGGTTTGGGGGAGGTGGTTGGTATGCAGGATATTTTTACTTCAGGGAAGCTGGTACAAGGGAGGCTGCAAAACAGATCTTTAAAAAATAGGTTTGAGGCACTCCTTTGGGAAGGTAGTGGCTCAAACGTTTTACAAACTAGGGTTCTGTTACACTGGAAGGAGCTATGGCAGGGGCTTTAGGGAGAAGAAAGTGGCCAAGCGTAATTGGAGTTTGCATATTGCTGCCTTCTGGGTATCTTGATATGCTCTAGAGATTTGTTGTTAGAGATTT